AGTTCAGAACGGGAGTGCGAATGTGGTGTCACCGATGAGTTTGCCGAGGATCTCTCGTAAAAGTATAGGTACCACCTGTGGAACGGGAAGAAAAGCCACCCGTTGTGGACTTGTAGATCGAGTGTGCCTTGCCCCGGTTGATCGTAACCACCGTTGCAGTAGGCGCAGTGAATGTTGGCTTGCTGCATGAAGCTACGTGGATCGTCCTTGTCGAGACGCCTCATGCGGTCGACCGCGGTGTTGAACTTGAATAGGTATTCGGGTGAGAGCCGGTGGGCGGACGGCCTCACTTTCGGCTTCGGGAAGTTGGGGAGCTTGTAGTCGATGATGGAGCCTTGGAACGGCGGGCAGCAGTTGATCTGCGTCGCCACACCGGCGCTCGTGTCGTAAGTGGAGTTCCCGCACTTGTCGATCTGAGGCGCCTGAATGGGGTTCGCGGATGCGGAGTCGGGGGTGGACAGGAGGTTGGCGGCGCCGTACATGCCTCCCAAACCGAGGAGCATGTTCCTCCTGTCGACCTTCGACCCTTCGTTGGAGGAGGAGGAGGAGCATGAGATGAGGCGGCGGTGGTGGTTGCGCTTTGCATGGGTGAGGAAATGCGATGGCTTAGCAAAAACAATGGGGCGGGTGGCGGTGGTGGAGGAGGAGCGGAGGGAGGAGGAGGAGGGGGCGGCGGCCGGAAGGACTTGGTGGAGAGATGCCATGATGAATGGCTCTTAGTGATTGGTTGGGATATAAAACTTTGATAAAGTTATAGCCTTATTTATAATGGATTGTTTGTAGTGCAAAATGTTAGTAGGTGAGGTGAGTTGGATTCTTAATAAGTTTGCATGGAGTGGGCAGAACAAATTGTACCTCTTACTGTTTTATAATTACCCTATGGTCAATTCGAATTAAATGTAACATTATGGGGGGTTGGATGGATAATATATATTCCTATATAATTTCAATTTATTCATTTTAATATATATATATACACTATATATACACTTAAAAAAAATCTTTTGAGTGACAACACTTATTTTTCACATAGTTAGGCAAAAAGTGTTGACTATACTTGTCACTAACGAGGTGTCGTCAATGCTCTATAGTGACAATAAATAAGGATTAAGTGACAACAAAAAAAGCTGACAATAAAAAAAGATGTTGTCACTTAATATGTACATTAAATGACAACTTTTGCATTTGTTACAATTGGGATGTCGTTAATGCAACTTTTTCTTGTATGATACACTAACATTTTCCCCCGTACTATGCACGGGATTGCCTTTCAAATGAAAATGCCTTTCAAATGAAAATGATGATTATTAGTTTAATACATGATAACAACAATTATAGTAAAATTTATTAGTGATATCAATAACAACATAATTTAATAATACAAACTCATTCAAAAAACAAACAATAAAAATTTAATTATCATAATATGAAATTAATCATTAAATAAATGAAGTAATTTTTTTTAGAAAAAATAGGCTGGAAAATAACAGATAAAATAATAATAATAATAAAAAATATATAGATGTAGTGGTTTATGATTGTGCTAGCCGAAATTTGGTATTAAAGTAATTAGAAAAAAAACATGGCTGCAAAATAGGAGATACAAATAATTATATATACACATAAATTAATTTATTTCCACAAATATGCCATTAGGATTTTTTAGGTTACCATTGCATTAATTTCTTTTATATATATATGATGTATGGATTTACTAATTTAATTTTATAATATGATAAATTTGTAACAATTGTTATCTAAATGAAAAGTATCTATACAAATATTATACAACCTAAATAAAAATGCACGTGGAATAAACAATAAATTAAAAGATTTGTAACACAAAAGAAATTAGCCTTGAGAACTGGTCAACGGTACTTAAGTAATACTCCCTTCGTTCCCTATTAAGTGTCGTTTTTGGCTTTGCACGAGGATTAAGAAGCTCAATAAATGTGTCTTGATTTTAGGTAAAATATATTAGAAAGACTAAAATAACCTTGATTATTTAATGATGTGATAAGATAGAGTTAATACTTGTAGTTGAATTAATAAGGTTAAAACAGGAAAAACTGCATTTAATGCAGTTTTGGAAATTTAACGTGACAGATAATATGGAACAAAAATATTTTAAAAAAGAGACAGTTATAATGAAACAGAGGGAGTACCAATAGATAAAACTGAATAGGTTTTTGTATATGCCATGAATATCCACCTCACTGATAACTAATTACACAACATTATAATGTAATAAACTAATAATTAATCTTTTAGTGTTATAGACTGTAGGGAAGTGTAGCAAGTGTTTGATCTTACACGATAACGCAGGCATTTATTTTGGTAGGGCCCACTACACACATTTTAGATAACGAGCTTATAAGTTGTTTTTACTGATTATAAGATCTTAAATAAAGATGTAAGGTAAATGTACGGTGTACCTTTTAAAAAAAAATTCTTATTTATTTTCCAACAACTTATTTTTTGAATTTTTAAAATTTTATAAAAGAATTACCAAATAATTTGAAAGAGATTAAATGCTTTTAAACATCTTATGAGCTATTTTTAACATCTGATAAGATTAGCCAAACACCCTCTTATGAAATTAATATTCAACTTAAAAGACTAGTGACTAACTTTATATCCAATAAAATATTAAAAGTAAGGGATTTTTATTGAAGAAAAAATAAAATCTTAAAAAGGGATTAGTTCCATTCGGCCAAAATATTTGCCGCCGAGAAATATATGGCTTATGAGATCCTACTCTTGGTGAAATACACTATGTGGTTTTAAACCGTAAATTTACACAATCACTACCTCCTAAGTACATATACACATAAACGTGTGTATTATTATGTGTAGATAACGTAAAACTACATGGTTTATTTCACCAAATGTAAGTTCTACAAAACCAAGTTTACTAATACTTCATACCAATGTTGTTAGAACCGGACCGAACCGACCGGTCGGACCGGTTCGACCGTGACCCAGCAATAAAGTGTCCGGTCTGACATCTAAAACCGTAAAAAATCGAAAACCGGGGTCAAATGACCAAAATCCGGTTCGATCGGGTAAAACCCGAGAACTGACGAGTCAGTCAAAAAAACCCAGTTTAATTCCGGCCAAAATGTCGCGAATCACCGCTGAATTGGTTATTTGTGGCCAAATTTGAGTGAACCTTCACAAACTTAGTAGTGGGTGGCCGAATCTAGTCACGAGTGGTCGAAGGATTGTCGGATATAATCACGGGTGATCGAATAGGGTGGCCGATTGCCGGATTTGAAGAATCAAAAATGGAAAAATATAGAGTATAAGCAATAAAATATAGTAAAAGGTGAGGTGAAACAGATAAAAGTGAAAATAATAAGTGGGGGATTAAAAATATAAAGAAAATAATATTTTTAAAACATTGAAATTAATAAAATAATAGCATATTAAAAAAGATCAAAAACTCGGTTGAATCGATTCGATCCTATAAACCCATGACCCAAATGGCCGTCCGATTCTATAGCCGGTCCGGTTCTGAAAACATTGCTTCATACGATATTAAGATGAATGATTTCCTGAAAAAAAAAAAAAGAATTAAAACAAAAAATCAGAAAATAACAAGCAGCCTTGATTTAATTAATGGAGCCACTATATGCCATATGATTAACATATTTAATAGTCAGCGCTTCACAAGCTGGCCTGTTATCAATCTATATTTTCAGAAGGGAAAACAATATTAAAAGATTAAAATAGATCATGATCTATATTTAATTTAATTTATACTAAGCCATATGTTTGAAGACTTTTTGTAATTAATGCTTTATTTTATTAACTAGTAATTAGTTTTATTAATTAATTCATTATAATAGTGTTGCATTATGTGTAATGGCTTTAAAAGACTAAGCAAGTGGGAAGCACAGTGGTCCTAAATATTAGTATTTGAATTATGACACTTGTGCAAAATGGCACGTGTTAATTCGTTGGGCGTTGAGTATTTACTATGATACTATCCACTCGCCTTTAATTTTGGGTCATCGATCGATACAACACATTCAATTATTACACACATGGATTTTTCAATTAATAAATAAATAAATAATAGAAGAATATTAAACACATGGCTTGTAATTTGTAAAATTATGTAAAGTTCGGTAAATAAATAGAGTGTGATATCTAACGATTTGAGTTCGATTTTTCTTCTGAGTACTTTAAAGCTCTGCTCGTTGCGCATATATTGCCCGGTATTGTAGTTTACACCTATAGTAAATATATATATATTCACGGGCTATTGCACGAGAGATGATACACAATGCATACATGGATCCTTTACGTTCACACACAAAAAAAAAAAAAAAACAAAAAAAAAAAACAAAACTAGATAATTAAATAAGGCCTCGTTTTCTTATTTACATTAAATTAGATTAGATTAAATTCATAATTATTAAATAAATATTTATTTAATAACATGTTTGGTTCCTTAGATTGCATGTTGTATTAAATTTGTTAGACTATGTGAATTGTCTGTAAGTTACTCCCTATGTCCCTTATTATATGTTTTTTTGAGATGTTTTTTTTTGTCCAAATTATTTTTTATTTTAGAGTTCTAATAAGATATTTATTGCATTTTCTAAATCAATTTTGCCCCTTATCATCAGTCACAATCAGTTAATTAAAAAATAATTATTGACATGGGTATTTTAGTATTTATTATGATATTTTTGGTATAATCTATGTATATTTATTTACTATCTTAATCTACACGTAACCACCCAAAACAACATATAATAAGGAACGAAGGAAGGGTTGTTTTAAGGAAAACTGTAATTTCCCCTTTTTAATCACTCCCTAAAAAATAATTGCAGGGAAGAGGGATGTTACGAATTTTATGTAGTAACATTTAATTGTTGGCTTATACTTTAGTAACAGTCTTGAACATTATTGAATCTACCAATGAAACGTCTTGCTAACTCATGCTATTAAAAAAAATCATGCTAAGCTTATAAGATATTAAAATGAGCTTATAAGATATTTTAAAACTTATCAGCTCTTCCAAAGTGTTTGGTAAATTTAAAAAAAAAAAGATCTTAAGTTTTTTTTAAATAAGTTATTGGAGAGCAAAATAAAATATTTTTAAAAAAATATCTTTACCCCACAGTTTTATTTAAGATCTTATAGTGAGTACAAATAGGAAATAAACTCATTATCCAAACACTCTAAAAATTAGTTTTAAAAATAAGATGTTATCATCTCTTAAAATATCTAATCAGACGTAAGAGTACGTTTATCAGCTGTTTAAAATGAATTTAGCCAACCACCCTTTTAGTCAATCTGGATTCTAGCCTAATAATAGCAAGTAAACGAGGCCTAAGCCAATAGTGGAGTAATATATTTTATGGGAAAAAGGCAAATATAAAATTTAGGAAAAGTAGAAATCATATCTTCTTGTGATTATAACATAAGATTTTCTATACATAATAAATGCTAATAAATTAAATGAAAGGTCCTGCGTCGAATATAAATTGTCGACAGGCTCGTCTGACTTATTAATATATAATTGCATATCAAAATTCAATGCATGGGACTCGAGAAAAATGATCCATAACCACTTTAAAAGAAAAATACACTAATAGTCTTGAGGTTAGTTGTGATTACGAACAGATTATTATTAAAAAAAAATAAACCTTTCGTAACGGCTACTTTAACCGTTGAAATAGTCACATAAAAAATAAATCCTTCTAGTCTTTGTAATTTTGCCCAACTTCAAGGGTCTCA